GGTGGGCTGGCAGCACAAGGACTGGCAGCACTGGGGGCGGCAGCAGCTGGACTCACAGCACCTGGGGCGGTAGCAGGTGGTCCTGCAGCAGGTGGTCTGGCAGCAGCTGGGGCGGCAGCAGGTCTCCTGGCAGAGGCCTTGGCTACAGCCCTCCTCAGAACAGACGAAGCCACAGCAGGAGCTGACCATGGTGTCAGAGGGTGGAGGTTCTGGGTGGGTTTCCAGGAGAGTGAGGTTCTTGAGTCTAGGAGTCTTCTTGGCCCACAGCTCCCTTTATATCCTGCTGAAGAGCTGCTGTCAGTGCGTCATTATTTCCTCATCATTATTTACCCTACTGGAAAACGTATTTAATTACATGATTGTGTGTTTCTAGTTAAGTACTCCAAAATGGAGAAAATAACACATTTCCTTTTCCTGGTGTGTTTCTGGGTTTCCAATGGAAAGACTTGTCACATTTCTTCCTTAGTGGGTGTCACCATTGTTCCTGGTGGGTGCAGTGTCTTCCAAAGCGCTTGTCACATGACTCTGATATTTTGTTTTTGAATGTGACATTCTCTCCAATTACTGCTCCCTAAGTAGCATGGAGAACAGTTCATTCAATGCTCATGTGTCTTGCTGTCAAAGTGGAGGGGAACGTGCTGGTCAGGTGAGATGCTGGAAAGGAATTAGAAAGAAAGACCCATTTGGGAGGAGGGTGTCCCACCTGTCATGAGGATGACTATGATCCTGTGTGGGCATCTGGGATGGTCAGGGAGGTAGCTGGACCCCAAGGAAGTTTCAAACTCTGTTTCTGATCTTATTCCACCATCTTGAGCTAAGGCACTTAGCGGTGACTCACTGCTTTTAAATAGTAAAAACACACGTTTGCTGTATGTCTTCCAGGGTGAGCATTGAGTAGGAAGTTTTGATTTATCTTTTAGTTGTCAAACTTGTACAATGGATATTTCATTACAGAAGCATTCATTATATATAAACAATATTTAGAATTATCAAGCCTTCAATAATACGTATTCAAGATACTCGGTTGGGTACTAAGAAAACATAATAGATAAATCCTCATCTTTTTCCTGTGGATACTTGAGTAAGACATATGCATAGGAAACAGTTTGACAACAATCAAAAGAATGACAATTATTTTAATTGAATAACTAAAATAAAAATTTATAGTATGTGGAGAAGTTCCATACACCTTCAGTAAAAGTGAGGAAATAATAACGTCTACCATCTGTGAAGTATTCACTAGATACCAGGCATTGTGTTGAATATCGTATATTTGTTTTTAATCTTTAATGCAACTTATAAAGTAGTGTGTATTCTTATCACCCTTTTAGTGGAATAGGCAAAAGACACAAGAGAAGTTACAAGGGGGAAAAAAGCTTGTGCAAGATGAAATAGTAGGTACACTTGTCTTTGTCTTAGGACAGCTGAGGAAGGAGTGAAGAATAAAACTTGCAAGTCCTTGCTGAAGTTATTTCATCTCCCTGGAATGTTTCTTCTTTCTTGGCATCTCTGCAAACTCCTGTTCCTCTGTCAGAAACCCAGCTTTTCCCTCAATGCTTCCTCCTCAGTGATAAACTACCCCCTTCATATATAATTCTCCCCTGCAATGTGCTCCTAATTAAGCACACTCTGTGGCACCACAGTTATTTTCTTCTGCCATGCGCCCAGTTGCAATGCTGATCCCCTGAAGTTATGAGCTATGAAGTTTAATTTTGTTACCAGGGTGTTCAGCACAGGGCTGGGATAGAACACGTTAGTGATAAATGTTGAATGAATGAAGGCTTTTTGATGACGTAATGGCATGGAATGGTCCTCCAAGACTACGTATCTTTTGACTGATGGAGAAAAGATGGTGAAACATTCCAAACAAAGGGATCATGGTTACATTTGGGGAAAACCACATTTGTTTATGTGGCATGCAACGTGTCACCTGATAAAACATATTTGTGGAAGTTAAGATTTGATATACAGAATAAGACTTGTTTACAGGTAACCACAGATGCCTATAATAACACAGAAACAAGAGAGAAGGAGGTAAATACCAAATGGTAGCACTAGTTCTGCTTCACCTGAAGTCTTCCCAGTTCTGCTCTTGTTGTGAGAAATAACCACCATTACTGGTTTACTATCAATCAGCTAAAAATATTTGCTGAATATCTATTGTCTTTCCTTGAATTTCACTCATAGTAGACCCTGAGACAAAGACGTGAGTGCAAGTAGTTTACTTAGAGGGTAATTCTGGGAAGCAGAAGTGAAGAAGTGGGAAAGTAGTGCAGGAGAGAAAGAAAAAACCCAAGAGTTCATGTTAATGATGGGGTTACCAACCTGGTGACTGGGGAATGAATCTGGGGACATGCCTGAGGCTGGAGGCAGTTAGCTGGCATTTTCTATGCCTAAAAAACCCCATAGACTCAGCTGAATTCTAGTGTTAATAGTGAAGTTGGACATAAGGCAGACTTAGAAAATCGATAGATTTCGTATACACTTACCAATATTCCTCCATAAAATGTAATGGAAGAATGTTTTCACAATTCTCAATAATAAACATGAAAAATACCAAAAAAAATCTGTCAAACAGTGTACTTGCCGTATATTGGGGGGACATATTAACATTTCCTGAAGGACAAAAAATAATATTTGAATAAATCAGAACAAAAAATGTACAACTAAAGCCGGGTTTGTGAATAAATACGTAAATGTGATTTAAATGCATTTAATAGGGATGTATCTCCATTTGTAACAATGGGTCTTGAATGGGATTGGCTAAGACTAGTGAAGGGAAACTCACTTTTGATCACATTCTTTTCTGTTATTTAAATTTTTAAAAAGCATGTTTGTGTAGAGTGATATAAAAATCCTTAGAAAAGAGTAAATATAATTTATATAAATTCAACAGTTTTCTCTTTAGACTCAGTTACATGTGTTTTCTGCTATCATGTTTATAGTCTTATTTATCATGCAAGATTAAAACTACATTTCACTCAATTCTTCCAGCTCTCACATTAGGTATTGTGAATTCCAGATTGCTTTTAGAGACAGTTTGAGTTCCTTAGGAAGCAAGTACAAAGATGGAGATTAGCATACAGGAGGTTTTTTGAGGAGTACTTTTGGGATTAACACTTCTAGAAGTGAAGGGTAGGGAGCAGGATTGGACACTGGGAGAAATCAAGCTGGAATGGAGTTTCAGTGGAAGTCACAACATGGCACTGGAAAGGGGGCATGGCCTTGGCCAAAAAAATCAGTCTCTACCAATACCTAGGAACTTTTACCAGGTCTGCATCATTCATTCACATCACCTACCAGGCCCTGAGGTGGTTCCTCTATAAGGCAGAATAAACCTTCTACTGAAGCTCTGGCCATCAGAATAAAGCAGAACTACTGTGTATATGGAGAAAAGATTCATTGCATATGACTCTAAGTAGAAAATACATAGACTTTGCTAAACTATCTATTGACTGCTATGTAGGTCGGGAAAAAAAAACAACCCTGAAGTACAGTGTTTTAAAACGTTACGAATTGTGTTCAATCTTTCTAACACTTTACCGCTGTTATTATATTCATGAATGATCTGTGACTTCATTTTCGCCCGTTTTCCCCTAAAGATTAGAAAATGGTTAGTTAATTTGCATACTTTCCAGACAAAACTCGGCAGTGATCAATGTCATTTGACCTCTATTAGAGGTTGATTAATCTATGCTACTTGACAGGTGAAGGCAAAATACAATGAGTTTAGACCCAAATATGAAAGGTTTTTAAAGAAGAGAGTAACAATCACATTACATTTTTAATGCCAGTAGAGAGAAGTTTATTTGGTACATGAACATAATCAGATATAGGAAAATCTTTGCAAAAGAGTACACCGAAAGACGTCATTGGAATTCCATGTGGAGGGGTTAAAATCTGTGGCCCTGTAAGTGATGGAGACCAATTCCTTAATCATGAAGAATGGATGTCCTGAAGACAAAGGGAGGGATGTTGAGGGAATTTAATTTACAAGGAGATTATGAATGAATTCATTTAGAAGGGAGAGAGTATAGACAGAAGTTAGAATATGGGCCCAGTAGGGGTTTGTTTATGAGAGTCAAGAGATCAATTATCTTGAGCACTCCACATTTTTAGAGAGGAGGGTCTGCATTTGTAGGGAGAAGAGAAAGGAGGAAGTAGTGTGTCCAAAGCAGAGATTCAGAAGCAAGAGGAGGCACAGCACGTGGGGCGGGGGCAGGTGGAGATGACACAGGTGGGGCGATAGCAAGTGGTGTGGCAGGAGACCTGGCCACAGACTGGGCGCAGGCAACAGCAGGTGCGGCAGCAGCTGGAGCCACAGGAGCTGGAACCACAGCAGGAGGGGCGGCAGCAGGTGGGCTGGCAACACTCAGACTGGCAGCACTGGGGTCTGCAGCAACTGGACTCACAGCAGCTGCGGCGGCAGCAGGTGGGCTGGCAGCACACAGACTGGCAGCACTGGGGTCTGCAGCAGCTGGACTCACAGCATCTGGGGCGGCAACAGGTGGGCTGGCAGCTGGAGATGCAGCATCTGGGGCGGCAGCAGCTGGACTCACAGCACCTTGGGCGGTAGCAGGTGGTCCTGCAGCAGGTTGTTTGGCAGCAGCTGGGGCGGCAGCAGGTCTCCTGGCAGAGTCCTTGGCCACAGTCCTCCTCAGAACAGATGGAGCCACAGCAGGAGCTGACCATGGTGTCAATGGAAGGATTGGGGTTCCACGAGTGGGTTTCCACGGAAGTGCTTTCTTGAGTCTGAATGTCTCCTTACACCTGTCCCCTTTTATACTGTGAAGTTAGCTGACGTTACCATAAGCAACTCCGTTTCCTTGTTGTTTTTCCTACTGGGCTTCCATTAATATTACTAAGTTGATAACTGTCTTTATCATGCTAATTACACCAATATCTAAGAAAAGCATCATTTCCTTTTTCTAGTGTTATGATTCACTAAATCTTCTAAAACCACGTGAAACTATTTTAATGTTTCTTCCTCTCTAGTGTGTCTTCTAAGTTGGAAATGTCATGTGATATTCCATTATTCAGGTTTTACATGTGTCATTTTTTTTTCCTTTTTT